GGCGGGGGACCCTCGGGAGCCCCGAGGGCCCAACCAGATCCGGACCGGGTGACCAGGCGGCTTCGGGGCGCGCTCTGCAGCTCCCGGGCGCTGTGCCTGCTGCGCTTGCTCTCTGAGCGGTGCTTTGTTTCGGCTCTCCCTCCTCCTAGCACTGCCGGCCTTTGCTTGTGTGTTTTCTCAGTCTGCAGTCCTCCCTCAGGTTCCTGCCACCCTCTGTCCAGGTGCTCTGGCGCCTCCTCTAGGTGCCACCAGACCGGACGCTACAGCGCTCGGCTCTGCATGACTTTTGTGCCATTCCCGTACCATCCTAGCTATCATCGCTCTTCTGCTTACAACATTCTGCGGTAGTGCTGCAGATGGACGGGACCGCAGGGAGCGCGCAGCTGTGCCGACTTGTCTCGCTACATGAAATGGTCCCCGTGAAAGCACCCCAGTTCGTTCTCCTCCACAATACCACATCACTTTTGTCCTCTCTTCTCCACCCTCCTCCAGCTCACTTAATCTTTTTTTCAGCGGAACTGTTGAAAGTTCTTGGGAAAGAGCCTTGTATTCGCCCTTGAATGTGATACCGAGATTCTTGTCTTCCTACCACTTCACCAAAGAAGCTTTTTAAGTCATTAAGAGTCATCCAACTAAATGCACTAGATTGTCTACGCGTCTCAGCTGGCCCATGAGCAGCTTCGATCTCTGTTGATCCCTTCTTGAGTTTTGAAATGTGTAGTTCTTTCTGGGACACCACCCTTCCCTAGATCTTCCCTTGGTTAATGGGTACGTCTTTTAAAAGTACTTTACTGATACGTACTCATATCTCCTATAATAGATATTCTAATGTCAGTGGCAGCATCCCTTAAACTTGTTCTTTTCGCTACTTCCTTATCCCTTTGAAAACTGCCTATACCTATACTGGTGATGTAGCTAAGACCTCTCCAAGTAAATAGACTTTAAAAAAAAAATCTGCATATAGAAGTTAATAGATATCTCAAAATTTACACCCAAAAGTAAATTTAACTCTCCGTTTTTCTGTTTGGTCTTTCCCATTTCAGGAAGTGGCATATTTTACTCTTTTCAATTAGGAAGGAAAAAAACTAAACCCTGGAGTTACCCTTAACTTCTCTCATAGTACTACACAATCAGTGCTTCTTACCTGCAAAATAAATACAGACTATGTACCGCTATAAGTAATAGTCTTACTATTAAGTAAGAATCTGAATAGTCTCTTTGTTAACATCCTCCACATAGTAATGTGTGGCTTTTCTGCTCAAACCCTTCAAGTTTTTATTTCTGTAAATGCTCGCCATTTTACAGTGTTCCTCAGGGTCTGGCTTTGAACTCTTCCTCATGGGTGATTACAGTCCACAGCATATTGTCCTCACAATATTTCCATTTCTGTACCTGTGCTGTTTTGTTTTTTTTTTTAATATTGTGCCCCGATTATCTCATTTACTTCAGATGCCACCATACATAAAATAATACTCTCCAACCTAGCATTTCACTCTCTTACCCTTGCTTCATTTCTCACACAGTTTATCTCTAAAGATATATAGAGGATTATTAAGCTGTCTGCAGCTAAGAAATTGTTACAGTGTGTATATCAAAAATGTTCCCCAGAAGTCTCACATGTTCAGAAGTGGGGCTTTGGGAAGATGACGATTATGGGAGCATTATTTTTATTGGTGGATTAACCTATTTATGAGTTCATTGCAGAAGGTGCTGTTAGAAGGTAGGGCGAGGATGGAAGAAGTGAGCCACTGGAGGTGTAGTGCTGTCCCTGACTCCTCTCTTCTTCCCAGCTGGCATGAGTTGAGCAGCTTTTCCTCTGCCAGGCCCATCCACCACCATTTCTGCATTGGAGACAGCCATCTGTGGACTGAACCCAATGAAACCATGAGCCAAATAAACCTCGCACCTTCTTTGTTACTTTCTCATCACTGAGTCACGATGCCCAATACGCTTAACTTAACAAGAAAAGGTTTATTTGGCTCACAGTTTGTAGAAGTTTCATTCCATAGTCAGCTGGTTCCAAGGCAGGGTGGCACGGCAGAGAAACAGTCCATGGCACGGTCGCAGAAATCAGAACAAAGATCAAGGGAGCATGGAGGGAGATAAATCTTCCCAGGCTACGCCCCCAGTGACCCACCTCCTCCAACCAGGCAGGCTTCACCTCATCAATGGACTAATATTGCACCCCTGTGATCCAGTCACCTCCCCAAAGATCCACCTGAGTGCATGAGGCTCTGCTGAGATGTTGAGGTAGAAACCACAACACCCGCTTTAAGAAGCAGGTGTCAAGTATATCTCTCAGTGATGGGGAAGTGATTAATACAGGAATGGTACTCTGTGAGAGCAAAGGTTTTTCTTCTGTTCATTGTCCTCTTTTGCCTAGAATGAAGAACATGCTCAATAACTGTTGATTGAGCAAAGGGATGCGTGACTATGTTACCTTACCTTTCCCATTGCTTGACCCAGTTCCTAGCACTCATAACTTGGAGACCTTTGATTTGTCTCACATTTTAAGGGAATTTGTTCATGATCTACTGGCTCCAAGGTGGAAGGGCTTGGTGGAACAAAGCTACTTAGTTTATGACAGCCAAGAAGCTGAGCAGGGAAAAAAGGCAGAGAGGAAGAGGACAGGGACCAGACACAGGTCCCAAGGCCACGCCTCCATGACCCGCGGGACACACCCAGCACTGCTCTGCCATTGGGCTGTCCAGATCCTAAAGCCAGCCAGACAGCCAGGTCTAGCTTCAGAATTTTGTTTTCATTTCTAGGTATGGAAATCTCAAAATAGAATTAAGATGAATTCCTGTAAATTAAAACAAAAGTCACAACTTTCATAGTCTTGAAGGCATTAGGAAAATTCACTTAAATTTTTTCTTTTATTTCTCTAAATAGGATTTCACTATGTAGTTCAGGCTGACCTGGAACTCATGAGGTGGTCCAGGCTGACCTCAAATTTCGGGAGGTCCTTTTGCCTCCACCTCCTGAGTACTGTGATTACAGGCGTGCGCCACCACACCTGGTGTCCTTTGAAGTTAATGACAAATTTTAAGTAGATTAATGAAAGGAAAGCACGTGACTGGGGAAGAAGTATAACCTTTGCTTTCTGATAAATCCATCCCATGTTGTCTAACGAAAACAGAGTTCACTGTTGTGGCTTTTCTTGTGAGAGCCTGCCCAGTGTCCTCCAGGGTGTACTTTTATCTTACTTTTTCTCTGCGTTCTGGCCTAGGCTTTCTCCAGAGAGCCATTTTCTCCCTCACTCTTTATTTTTACTTCTCAAATACTTTGTCAACATTTTTTAAAAAGTAGACTAAAATAAAGCGTCAAAGACATTAAAATGTACAACTTGGTGACTTGACTTAATATCATTTCTGATCTTCCTCCTTTTGAGTTTTAAACCAGATCTTGTAAAGGATCTCTTGAAGCATTTATCGATTTTCTGTTTTCTGGCTTAGATTTTTCATGTGTTAGATCCTTCCCTTGGGCTTCACAGTGGATAAAATCCCATTGTGGTAAAAACAGCCACTGGCTCTTTGTTCAACCCTTTCATTCATTTTCTCTGCCCATTTCCTTTATTCTAATTCCTCACACTTCCATACTTCATTTCGATTCTTAGAGTGTTCATGTTTGTCTCAGCGACCTATTCTTGCCTTTTAATCATTTCTTCTATTAGAGGCCTCGGCATACTAAGTAAAATTATTTTACACTTGGTCTTAGCCAAAAGGCTGAGAAGCGATTAAGTAAAATTACTCTAAAATCTTGGTCTCATAATTCCAAAACTTCTGCCATATCTGAGTCTGGTTCTGATGCTTGCTTTGTCTCTCCACATTGCTTTTGCCTTTTGATACGCCTTAGAAATTTTGGTGGAAAGTAGCACATAACTGTGTAAAGTAATAAAAACCAAGATTCATTGACCTTCACCATGAGTTTTTATGTTTGTATGGCTGTGAATTTTGGTCTTGTTTCCTGTTTGCATGAGTGTGTGGAGGTTGAGTTTTCTCAAGTGTGTGTATTTTGTCTCTTGTGTTTCAGGTTCCCCTAGACGCTGCTTTTCCTGCTGGGTTTCATTGTGGCGTTTGGTACATGCATCTTCCCACCATGATCTACCTTTATGTGCTCGTTCCCCTCTCCCAGATTCCCTTCCTCTTCTCATAGTCTTCCTTTTCTCTCCTTAG